ATTTTGAACTCAACAAGTCTAGACAAACATTTCATCACAGCTTGAAAGAGCACCACAAAATTAGTAATATTCCAAAGTTTCGTTACAAAATGTTGTAGTGGATAATATAGCCTTGGGAAGTTTTCAATTTTCAGTCAATTTGTATTACAGACGGGAAATGGTTACCACTTCTGTGCGTAATACAAAATGACTGAAAATTACAAACTTCCCAAGGCTATATTATCCGCATTTTACAACATTTCGCAACGAAATTTGGAATGTTACTAATTTTGTGATGCTCTTTCATGCTATGATGGAATTTTGTCTGGACTTGTTGAGACCACAATTTTGGTTAATTGGGGATTGGTCCATTTGCGGCGAAATTTTTTTAAATTTCCATGCGAGGGCACGCCCCCCTCCCCGCGCGATTTTTTAACTATCAGTCACAACCGGCTACTTTTTTGGTACAGCCGCCTACTTCAAATCATTCTGAAACCCCTGCTGGATTTCAGGTCTTCTGTTTTCAGTGATTGTTTTTGTGTTGAAGCAAAAAGTTGCTTAGGGCCATTTTCATTGTCACTAAGTGCAAAAATGCACCAACAGAAAATGAATCTTTGTATAGAATATAGGTTGACTTAATGTTAAAATACCGATAATGTATAGTACATATCATAAGCCCTTTTAAAAGTAGCTATATATTACACCCATCGTCACAAACATGTATAAGCAGCCTGTATTTGGATTGTAATTGTTGTTCACATTACTCAAATTACTCTATCTTATTTTGTCTCTAATATTTTTTTGCTTTATGATGAAAAAATAGCACCCCCCTGCACCCCCTCTGGCCAGGGCTAGGGGGGTGCATCCCCCCCCAGTAAATCCATCCCTGTCTGGTTGTATGGCATATCTAGATGAAGGGCGATTTACGTGGCGGCATAATTCAGTCCTGAACTTCATTGCATCCAGCCTTATGAGTGCCGAGCGATCCAAACTCTACGTAGATTTATTACTCCGTCAGTTATCACTGGTGATCAGTTACGTCCAGACCTTCTCTTGGCAATTGAAAATAATTTTTTATATGTTTTGGAACTGACTGTTGGCTTTGAAACAAATCTTAACTCTAACTCAGATCGAAAACATAGAAAATACTTGCCGCTTATTTCAGATCAATAAAGTAATAACTATGATAAGGTAAAATTTGTTAATGTATCCATAAGCTCGCTAGGTGTTTTTGGTCAATCGACGAACGCCTGCAGAATCATCTGATTTTGCAAGGCTCCTTCTTTTCAAATGTCATTAAGTTTTCGCTGTCGAAATTAAATATCGAAATATGGTCTAAATCCCAATCAAACCTCCCAAAGAACATCTATAATTTCACCATCGGTTACATCAATAACTCACTTCCAACTCGTAAAAACCTTACTAAATGGGGAATATTGTCCAACTCTGACCGCTCCTTCTGCTTAAACCCTGAAACCCTTTTACACGTGAATGAATGAATGATAATAATATTTATTCAGGAAACCAACATCACAAGAAGTGTTTTTCAGATGGTTCCTGCAAAACATTAAAATACAAAGTATAAAAAATATATATAGTGTGCGTGCAGTATTTACATATTGGTATATATGGATATATATGATATACCAGAAAAATTATGAGACTATATATAGGATACATGATGCTATACATATTTACAAGGATACAAAGAGTTAGTAAGTTATATTTTAAATATACTGTATGAGTATTATAAAGATAGAGATTTGAGAAGTTCATTCCTAAACGTTCCTAATTGTTCAATGGATCTAGTATTATAGTTCAAATCGTTGTACTCTTTACAAGCCTGGTAAAGCAGTTTTTGCTTTCCCCAGTTTGTCTTCGGCTTACAGAGGTATATATCATCTCTGCGTCTTGTGTTATATAAATGATTAGTATTAGGCAGTTCGAGATTAAACTCTGTTAAATTATTTTTTAATTTATATATGGATGCCAGTGTAATTTGTTGAGGGCTTCAGTGGATGAAGATAGGTAGGGAGCGTCAAGAATGGTCTTTGCAGCCTTATTCTGGAGAACTTGTGGTTGATCCATTAAGGAGTTATTCTTGTCACCCCATATAATATCTCCGTAGTCAAATAGTGGAAGAATAAGAGCGTTGTAAATGATAAGTCTAGTTTTGAGTGGAATGAAGGTTTTAATTCTTCTTAGCAGTCCGATGCGTTGGTTAATTTTTGTTGAAATATTATTTAAATGGTCAGACCAAGTGAGATTTTCTGAGAAAGTTATACCTAGATATTTAAAGGTACGTTCACGGGCAAGTTGATGTTCGTTGACATGTATGGATATATTATAGTGAACGACTTCAGACGGCTGTTACTACCAAACAGGACGAACTTAGATTTTTTGCAGTTCAATGTAAGTAAGTTTTGATCAAGCCACTGGGAGATCAAGTTAAGGTCCTCGTTTACGTATTTCTCAATGTCACTAGCTGACTTGGATGAGTAGTATAGAAGAGTGTCGTCAGCGTAGAGTAATATCTTGCAGTGTTTAACAATGTTGGGCATATCGTTGATATAAATAATGAAGAGAAGTGGACCTAAATTGCTTCCTTGTGGAACGCCGACTGACACGGGTAGAGAGCTGGACATCGTATTGTTGATGGATGTTACTTGTTGACGAGAGGAAAGGTAGGACTCGAACCAATTTAGGGAATTGTCATCCAAGCCAACAGATTTTAATTTACACAACAGAATAGCATGGTCAACGGTGTCAAATGCTTTACTAAAGTCCAAGAAAACAGAGGCAGTAATCAGACCGTTATCAGCGTTTTCAAGAATGTTGTCGGTAAAGAAAGCCAAAGCAGTGCTGGTCGATAGTTTAGGTCTGAAACCAAATTGATTAGGGGTAAGGATTTTGTTTTCGGTTAGGTAGTTGTAGATTTGTGTGTGAACAAAACGTTCCAAAATCTTACTTAGGGTTGGCAATACAGTAATAGGTCTGTAATTTGACATGTTCGAGCGCTCCCCAGATTTAAAGATATGTGTGACTCTACCGTTTTTCCAGATTTGTGGGAAAGTAGAGGAGCTTAGCGATAGGTTAAATATTTGGGTTAGCGATGGGGCGATGACTACAGCAGCATCTTTTAATAGTCGAGCGGTGATCGATCAAGACCGGTGGATTTGTTCGTTTTTAGTTTTGATAAATTCTTGAAAACAGACGCGCGTAATTTGAATCTCTTGGAATTTGAAGGTTGAATTGACTCCTGGTGGTGGATTTCCTGGAGACTGGGATTGCGTACATTTTTGTTTGATCGCATTTGCCAAAGTTATTCCAATACTGATAAAAAATTTATTGAATAGAGATTACATTTTGTGTTCTTGTGTTCTACACCGTCCGTTATAATTGAACTTGGAGCTGAGGATTTTATGTTGCGGGATGTCAACTCATTCAGAGTTTTCCATAGACCAGAAGGATTGTTTTTATTCTCTTTTATTAGGTTTTCGTAGTATTGGGATTTACATTCACGCACTTTTTTGTTTACGAAGCAGCGGTATTTGCGGTATGCAGACCAGTGTGTTTTTGACTGGGTTTTTTGTGCCTTCTTTAGATGATGGTCTCGTTGTTGCATTGCCTGACTTAGCTCTGCTGTCATCCACGGGATGTTCACTCGCTTGACTTTCATTTTCTTGATCGGCGCGTGCAGATCAGCTATGTCAGTAAAACATTTGCACCTGTTGTCAACGGTAGCATTAATATCGTTATCATCTACTGCAGCAGACCAATTGTTATTTCTAAGATCTTGCAGAAAAGACTCTTTATTGTAGTGTTTGTAAGAGCGGTATTCAATTATACGCGGCGGGGCTTTAGTAACACCAGCTTTAAAGACGCAAAACACGAGAGAGTGGTCACTCAACGCACAAGGAATCACACCACTTCTGACAATTCTCTGAGTATTGTTAACGAAAATCAAGTCAATCGTGGTTTGTGATGTTTCTGTGATTCTTGTGGGTTCTGTGATTAGTTGGTCCAGGTGGAGCTGACAAGAGAGATTATTCAGTAAACGTTTGAAAGAAGATCGATTGTTTTTGCTAAGGTCAATGTTAAAGTCACCCAGCAAGATAAACTCGCTGTTGTTTGGAAGTTTGTGGATGACATTTTCCAATTCGGTGATGTAGTTTTCAACAGGATTGTTTGGGGCTCTGTAAGCGCGCTAAGCGCAACATATAAAAGGGAAAAGCCCTGGGAACGAGGTTGCATATAAACAGTTTTTTAGCCTTAGGTCGTAAAATTTCAACCATACAGTTTTCCAAGGTATTATTCATTAGGTCCGATTGGGTTTTAAAAGGTAAACCATCACGAATGTATATAACAGTGCCACCACCGATTTTTCCATGACGGTCCATTCTGACAATTGAATAGCCAGGTATAGCTACTTCGGAGTCTGAGATACTTGGTTTAAGCCTTTGTTTAAGCCATGTTTCAGAGATTGAGAAGACATCAAATGGATTATCTTTCAGTAGTAATCGGAGAGAGTCTATTTTTGGCAGTATGCTTCTTGTGTTTAGGTGGGAGATCTTTAATCCACGTACATTAAGTTTGGGTATTGAGAAGTTGCGGACGGGACCAGGGTTAGTGGAGACGTCATTTGATAGAGATATAAGTGTCAAAGAGATAGAGAAATTCATTGCGATGTGAAGTCCACGGATTAGTTTCAAATTTGACGACAGCGGCTTATGTTCTGTAGGGCGACGGGGATTATGGAGATGAGAGTACTCTTTCATTCTAGGATTTGACATTAATTGAGACGCATACAAAGTTCTATATTCGAGAGATTCTGGTGTGGCATGGGATGCGTCTCTGCTTAAGCTAGATAGGTAGAGGTATATATTTAATATAACCAATAAGTTACGCGAGGTGAGTATCAATACAGCAAATGGCATTATAAACTATACGCCAGACAAAGGTCGAGGAAGGGTCAAGTTGCGTTATGTTCAAAATAGCAGGGGTGCCAAGCAATAAATTTAAGAAGTTTCCTTACGACGATGTTCTGTGGTTGACGTAGTTCACAGATAGTGTAAAGGAGAGTGTTTAACAGTAGGAATGCGGATTACAGGATGTCAGATGTATATATTTGAGCTTTTTTATAAACGCGGGAAAATTTAAAGTGCTGTTACTAAGCGACGAATAACAAAGTTGTCCAGGCCAACGGTAAAAAATATTTAGTGAGTCGATAGTTCAAGACTAACCAAGAATATACTGTATATGCCGGTAAGAAATTCGTACGAATGTTCCACCAGTAGACTTTAACTGAAGCTTTATATCCGTTCAGCAGCGTTATATTTGGTGTTGTATACGAGATTTCAGACAGCAATACTGAAGCCAGACGGTAATATACGTGGTCAAAGATAATCACCAAATAATAACACGATTACCAAGATATACCAAGAATAAAGTATAGTCCAGATAGATCACGATGTTTTTACAAGAGCAACTGCATAAAAGTGGCGATCGAGAGCTTTAAGAATTAATATATTTTATGTTTTTTGTGCTACACTTAAAGTGTGTCCAACCTTGAAACCTGAAACCTGACATTTCTTTTTATTTTCTATTCACGTAGTCGCTGGATGTCAAGAGTACCTCTCACGATTTACATGGAGATATAATTTTGTTCTGAATTTCATCGCACAAACCCTACAACCTGTAAACAACTCGAATCTTTCCGTCGATCTTCCTGGTTATAAGAGCTAGCCCATCAATTGTAACTGGTGACACATTCCGCGATTTCCGCCCAGACCTACTTCTATCTATCAACTCTTGTTTGTCTCTATATCATTGAACTTTCTGTTGGTTATGAGTCTAATCTCCAAACAAATGTTGATCGGAAAAGAAGAAGATACAAAGATCTCATTACACAGCAAAAGAAACAATTTAACTCTGTAAAATTTAGTTCTTTAGGCGTTTGTCAATTAGTTCTTTGGGTCTTCCACAGAACGGCACCTCGGCATGAAACACCTTTCTTTACGGCCTTAGTCAAAGGTCTCGAAACAAACAAACAAACAAACAAACAAACAAACAAACAAACAAACAAACAAACAAACAAACAAACAAACAAACAAACAAACAAACAAACAAACAAACAAACAAACAAACAAACAAACAAACAAACAAACAAACACAAACAAACAAACAAACAAACAAACAAACAAACAAACAAACAAACAAACAAACAAACAAACAAACAAACAAACAAACAAACAAACAAACAAACAAACAAACAAACAAACAAACAAACAAACAAACAAACAAATGAAACTGATTCTGAACCACGTAGACCACATTGATGAGGAAAACATTAATGTTTTGGAATGCTGTTCTCTTCTTCTAAATTCAACCAGTTTAGGTCAGACAGTACTTCATGTGATTGGGTGTTATAATCTAACCCATTTATAATTCGTGCAAGACCTTTCCCCAATTTACCCCAGACACTGAAGCAATAGTCGAAGTGTGGCTGAATTAATGACGTATAAATCATGATGACAACATGACATGGGACAAATAATTTTGATCTCATCAAACTTTGGCTGCCTTTGAGGATTAGTATGAGCATCCCACTTCAAACTCTCATCAAGTTTCAGACCTAAATATTTATGAATTTAGAGTGTTCTCTTTAACGTTATGAATAACTATAGACAGATAGAAATTTTATTTATACACGCTGACCCCGTCAACCGAAGCTGATTTCCACGAGGGGCGTGTGCCAAAAAAAAATTACATGTGCATGAAAGTGATAATTAGAGCTATTTACAAACGTTTTAAAAGATACAGAGTATTAAATAGTAACATATTAATGAGTATTAAAATAGTAACATATTAATGTTTGATGAGAAAGTTGACAGACTATTTACAGGCACATTATTTACAATACTTGTTACTCATAAATGTGAGCAGCGATTTTATTTCGCAAGGAAGAAAGTGATTTGCTTTCCCTAATTTCTTTTGGAATAGAATTCCAAAGTTTTGCTCCGTCTTACATGAAACTATTTTTCATTTTATTAGAACGAGGTTTTGGTATTACAAAGATCAGTTGAAATGTCCCGAAGCGGATAGTTTGTTTTCTCACATTTATATGAAAATAGATTTGAGTGATTTTGGACCCATTTTATTAATATACTTACACATCATTTTTGCTTTAGCTTTCTTCCTTAATGTTTTGAGTGGTTCCCAATCCAATTCACACAAAGCAAATGAATGATTTACGTCATTACTCATATTCAAGATAATTCTAGCAGCTCTATTTTGCAGTTTTTGAATTCGTTTTGATTGTGTTTCTCCAAACACATCGCATACTTCACAGAAGTAATCGAAGTAATTATATCATAATATATACACTTCTGTATTGTCATTCTAAGCGCATGTCATCCGCTGTCTATACTTATATGTTCAGTTCTTCAGAAGAGGATCGAGGTCAATTCCGAAGACGCACGATGGAGCTCAGCTATTTTATCAACCTGATATTCATATTTGCTGTGAACGTATTGTTCTTTTTTTCAGGAATATTATTTCATGATAATGGCCGTTTTGTCTTGTTGCGACTTGCTTGTGGTTTTAACTAATCGTCCATTGTTGGCCCTTACCGCGATGTTATGGTTGACCGGAAGGTTGGATGCATGCTGTCGTTGATTTCCTTAAGCTTATCAGATAGTTTCCTTGGTTTTTCTTTACTTGCTCTTTTGGTCATGAATTTTGATCGATATTTGGCGACATCTTATTCTATCTTTCATCGAACATCGGTAACGAAGGGGAAAATTTTAAACTCTTCTTGCAATAGTCCCAATACTGATTATTGTCGAACTTACTTTGGGAATGATCTCTATAAACATCTT